ATTGTTTTCCTTTTAATTTGACTGGGTGAGAAGCTTGGTCCTAGCCTTGTCCTGAGGTCTAGCTGCTTCTCCCTGGTTCGTGTATTTTTGGCACTGTTTGCAATATCATCCTGTTTGGTTTCTTCGAAACCAAACTTTCGACCAAAAAAAAAATTTGCCAAGCTTAATGACCCAATTTTGACAGGATAAACATGTTTAACTAGTATTATATAAGTTTTCGGTTATTTTTTTTAAAAAAAACCTAGTATTATATAAGGAAAATTAGTTATTTTTTCCATTAATATATATTGAATTGTATGTGAAGATGTGTAATTATAAGACTATTTTTATGGTTTTGTATGTATTCATATATTAAATTTATTCTTATTTGATAACTGATGTAGAGTGATAGGCTTAGTTCATACTATTGGAAGCTTGCTTTGAAATTCTTGGCTCAAAATTTAAATATCCAAATACAAAATAATTATAAACAAGTTGTGTTGGGGATGAGCTACTTCACACGATTAATTAAATGAGTCAAATTAAGATTTATATCTGGCAAATAAGATAAAATTAAGATATACTATTTTTGGACACAAACAGAATAGGACCGTTTGATCTAAATTTCCATCCAAAGCCCAGTAGAAAAGCTAAAACAGGCCTAAAAAAACAATAGAAACTTCTGTTCTGTTGTGGTCGCCGCATTGAATTGAAATTAGGCGCAGCAATCTTCTGTTCTGTTGGTTTTTGTTGGTCGAATCTTCTGTTCTGTTGGTGGACAACGGCAATTCCGAAGGTTTGGAATTGGAACTAATTTATTGGTAAAGGTTTGACTTTAATTACAGATTACTCTTACGTTTACTTCACATCAAATAATGATGAGGACCACATGAAATTAGGAATTTAACTTTTGATTTTGGAGAAATTGGACTCTTGGGTGTACTGACGGACCCATAAATGTTTCAGGAGGGGCAACATTTAAAAGGCTAAAAGTATGTGAGGGAAATCCAAGTGCAAGGAGTCCATGAACCCATCTACATTAGTCGACATGGAAGAGAGAAACTTTGAATAAATAAACGTTAAATTTGTATAAAACAAAATTAAATTATAAGTTGAGAAACTAGGAAATGACATATGCCAAATAAGGGGGGTTAAAGCTCATGGGTATTTATTAAATAGAGATACACCATTAATGGAATTTTGGGAGACAACAAGATTATGTGAAGCAGAAATCAAATTGAATATTACAAAGTCTCTTTCAGACATTTAATCAAACACGTGGTGGGCACCAGCAGAGGGGCAAATTTTGGCCACCCCAAAGGATTTTTCGGCAAGGGGAGGTGCAGCTACACCTCCTTGCTCATGTGTAGATCCGTCAGTGCTTGGGTGAGAGGTGGTATTCTGACTCCAAGAGAACAAACCTATCAGGAATTCATATTTTTCTACGCATTGTATCCCCACCTACTCAGATTCAAGACAGTTTAGTAAACAACTTCAATGGAATCCGTATCTTGACTCCTCCCCAATTCAATTCCTCCTCACATGATTACGAATTAGTAAACATACCCTAAAGCAAATTGACAATATACTTAAAAGGAAGAGTACACTAGGCAAAAATTACGGGTGGCAATTTCCGACAAAACACGATGAACAACTCGAACGAAAAATTAAGCAGTCAACCTGCATGATTAAAATTTCGAGTCAACCTGTTTGACACGTTTAATAAAATGTGGGTATTTAGTCAACCCTCCAACTGAAAAATGACCTACTCAACCCATTTATTCTTTAATTTTAAAATTTTATTAATAATAATAAATATGCGGCGTGTATATATTGACATGTTATATTCTTTTTCACCATGCCCTCTAGGGCAGTGGATTTCAACCCACCCAAAAGAAATCTCTACCCAAAATTTTAACTTAAATTTTTTTTAAACAGTCTTGATCTCTTGGACCACAAGAGTCCAAGAGCAAAGGCATCAAGAGGATTATCATTGAAATGGACTCCTCTCTTGGTGTACAACTTATCCAACAAATTGATGCATCTCGGTTTCACCCTCTTGCTGGCTTGCTGAACGATTGCTGCACTCTTCTAAGGCAATTTGAGAATTATCAGTTACACCATATTTATAGGGAAAAGAATTGCCTTGCTGACTGCCTTGCTAGGTGGAGCTACAACCTCGACTTAGGCATTTGTTATTTCGATTATGCTCCTGCGTGGGCTAATGATGTTTTGGTCGATGACCTCTTAGGGGTCTCTCGCTCTCGTCAGATTTCTATTGCTAATTTGTAGCTGTTTCTTGGGGCTTTCCCCCCCCTTTTTCATCAAAAAAAATAAAATAAGCATGAGTAATCAAATGAAATAAAAGCAGCTGTAAAGACATTATTGCACTGGGGTGAACTGTAATAGCAAAAGACAGTAATAGCATGTTTACTAATTCGTAATCGAAATCAAAATAAAAGGTTTGACTTTAATTACGGATTCCTCTTACGTTTACTTCACATCAAAGAATGATGAGGCCCACATAAAATCCAAAATTTAACTTTTGATTTTGGAGGAATTGGACTCTTCGGTGCACTGACGGACCCATAAATTTTTCAGGGGAGAGGCAACATTTAAAAGGCTAAAAGTATATAAGGGAAATCCAAGCGCAAGGAGTCCATGAACTCATCTACATTAGTCGACATGGAAGCGAGAAACTTGAATAAATAAATATGAAATTTGTATAAAACAAAATTAAATTATAGGTTGAGAAACTAAGAAAGGACAGATGCCAAATAAAAGGGGATTAAAGCTCATGGATATTTATTAAATAGTGATACACCATTAAGGGAATTTTGGGAGATTTATTAAATTATAGTTTTTTACTCCACCCCATAGGATTTTCCGGCAAGGGGAGGTGCAGCTACGCCTCCTTGCTCATGTGTAGATCCGCCAGTGCTTGGGTGGGAGGTGGTATTCTGTCTCCAAGAGAACAAACCTATCAGGAATTCATATTTTTCTACGCATTGTATCCCACCTACTCTGATTCAAGATAGTTTAGTAAACAACTTCAATGGAATCCATATCTTGACTCCTCCCCAATTCAATTCCTCCTCACATGATTACGAATTAGTATTGACAATATACTTAAAAGGAAGAGTACCTTAGGCAAAAATTAGGGGTGGCAATTTCTGACAAAACACGATGAACAACTCGAACGTAAAATTAAGCAGTCAACTTGCATGACTAAAATTTTGGGTCAACCTGTCTGACACGTTTAATAAAATGTGGGCATTGAGTCAACCCGCCAATTGAAAAATGACCTACTAAATCCATTTATTCTTTAATTTTAAAATTTTATTATTAATAATAAATATGTGGCATGTATATATTGACATGTTATATTCTATTTCACCATGCCCTCTAGGGCAGTGGATTTCAACCCACCCAAATGAAATCTCTACCAAAAATTTTAACTTGAAATATTTTTTTAATAGGTTTTATGTACATAGGTTACCTGTTAAACATGTTTAATAATTTGTTAGACAGGTTGCCTGTTTTGGACCTAATCTACCACAACTTGAACCCAACAGGAACCATTTGTTAAATGGGTTGAATTTGAGTTGAGCATTCTCGACACATTTGTTACCCTACCACGACACAACCTATTACCACTACTAGCCAAAACCCAACAGTAGCTCCCACTATAATGCCATTTTGTAAGGTGTGAAATCGGTACTAGAACTAATTTGAACTGGTCTTGTTCGGTTTGATGTCGGTTTGTTGAGTTTTTAATCAACACGGTTTTTTTTCCGATTTTTTCCTACAGCTTGGTGTTCCGATTTTTCGGTCTTGATGCCCACCTCTAATAAAAATAAGAAGAAAAACAAACTGATCTTACGCACACGAACACAGGCACACAACCCAAAGTCTTTAAAAATAAAAAATAAAAACATTCATCAGAAAGATAAGATAACAAGAAATGCACACAAAGAACAACCCAAGAACTCACCTCCGCTTCGCCTTTAGAGCCAATTTCTCACGGCAAAGCCATGTGCACTCTTGAGAAGCGCGGTGATCTCTTCTTCCTAACCCTAACAGGCGACGACGAGCACCGCCTCAGCCTAACCCTCATCGACTCGCTCCTCTCGGCTCTCTGCCAAGCCAAGTCCGAAGCCACTCGCGGCTCGGTCCATATTTTTCTACGCATTGTATCCCACCTACTCTGATTCAAGATAGTTTAGTAAACAACTTCAATGGAATCCATATCTTGACTCCTCCCCAATTCAATTCCTCCTCACATGATTACGAATTAGTATTGACAATATACTTAAAAGGAAGAGTACCTTAGGCAAAAATTAGGGGTGGCAATTTCTGACAAAACACGATGAACAACTCGAACGTAAAATTAAGCAGTCAACTTGCATGACTAAAATTTTGGGTCAACCTGTCTGACACGTTTAATAAAATGTGGGCATTGAGTCAACCCGCCAATTGAAAAATGACCTACTAAATCCATTTATTCTTTAATTTTAAAATTTTATTATTAATAATAAATATGTGGCATGTATATATTGACATGTTATATTCTATTTCACCATGCCCTCTAGGGCAGTGGATTTCAACCCACCCAAATGAAATCTCTACCAAAAATTTTAACTTGAAATATTTTTTTAATAGGTTTTATGTACATAGGTTACCTGTTAAACATGTTTAATAATTTGTTAGACAGGTTGCCTGTTTTGGACCTAATCTACCACAACTTGAACCCAACAGGAACCATTTGTTAAATGGGTTGAATTTGGATTGAGCATTCTCGACACATTTATTACCGTAACACAACACAACCTATTACCACCACTAGCCAAAACCCAACAGTAACTCCCACTATGCCATTTTGTGTGTGAAATCAGTACTAGAACTAATTTGAACTGGTCTGGTTCGGTTTGATATCGGTTTGTTGAGTTTTTAATCAACACGGTTTTTTTCCGAATTTTTCCTACAGCTTAGTGTTCCGATTTTTCGGTCTCGATGCCCACTTCTAATAAAAATAAGAAGAAAAACAAACTGATCATACGCACACGAACACAGGCACACAACCCAAAGTCTTTAAAAATAAAAAATAAAAACATTCATCAGAAAGATAAGATAACAAGAAATGCACACAAAGAACAACCCAAGAACTCACCTCCGCTTCGCCTTTAGAGCCAATTTCTCACGGCAAAGCCATGTGCACTCTTGAGAAGCGCGGTGATCTCTTCTTCCTAACCCTAACAGGCGACGACGAGCACCGCCTCAGCCTAACCCTCATCGACTCGCTCCTCTCGGCTCTCTGCCAAGCCAAGTCCGAAGCCACTCGCGGCTCGGTCCTCGTCACCACCGCCCACGGCAAGTTCTTCTCCAACGGCTTCGACCTCGGCTGGGCCCAAGCCGCCGGCTCCGCCTCTGCCGCACGCGCTCGTCTCAGCCAGATGGTCGCCGCCTTCAAGCCAGTCGTCGCCGCGCTTCTCTCGCTCCCGATGCCGACGGTAGCCGCCGTCCAAGGGCACGCAGCTGCCGCCGGATTCTTGTTGGCTCTGAGCCACGACTACTTCCTGATGAGGCGCGATAGAGGCGTGCTGTATATGAGCGAGGTCGATTTGGGGCTGCCATTCCCAGACTACTTCACGGCGGCGTTTCTGGCGAAGATCGGGTCGGTTTCGAGTAGGAGGGACGTGATGCTGAGGGGGATGAAGCTGAAGGGAGACGAGGCTGTCAAGCTTGGGATTGTGGAATCGGCGCACGATAGCGCGGAGAGCACGGTGGAGGCTGCGGTGCGCCTGGGGGAGCAGTTGGCGAAGAGGAAGTGGAACGGCGACGTTTACGCGGAGATCAGGAAGAGTTTGTATCCGGAGTTGTGCGGCGTTGTTGGAGCGGCGGTTGCTACTCCAAAGGCAAAGCTTTGATTCCTCGTGTGTTTCGATCAAGTGTTTAAGAAAATAATTTGAAAGGGGTTTAAATTGAAAATGATGATTTCAGTGTTTGAGGTCTCTGGATCAATTTATGTAAGATGTTAAGAAAGATTAAGGAAATAAGGAATTTGATAATTTACTCTCAAACTTTTGAAAATTAGTTCACTACCTTTAGTTTGAGCTACGATCAGTGAACGCTTAAAACTTCGTATTATCATTCTGGTTATTAATCCAATGGATGAATATAATAGGTGAAATAAAAACGGTGTAATATTGTCTCAATTTATTTTAATTTTTACAAACATTAATTTGTTTATAAGATACTTTTACAACGGATCACAACAAAACTGCATCGAGTCATGTACTCGATTGGTTCTATGGACTTTTAATTTGGTTATGGGCTCACTACTTTGCCTTTAAATATATAATTTAGCTATTATGGGCTCACTACTTTGCCTTTAAATATATAATTTATATATATAGCTAAATGCAGAGAATTGTGAAATATTCAAAATATCATAAAATATCATTAGTTAATCCAAATATTAAGAATTAAAATTATTAATTAAATGTGAGAATAATATAATAAATTCATCCTTTTTCATATTAAAAAAAGAAAAATTAAAAGAAAAATCTGATAATAAATTTTATTCTTATGAAACACAACTACTCATTATTATTTTTAATTCTAAAATAAATTGAAATTTTTATAAATAAAAAACTTCTCGCAAATGCAAAAGTGCGAAAAAGCTAGTATAGTATAAATTAAAACATTTTAGAAGGTTTTTTTATTATTTTAATTTAAGGTCATTGCATTTAGAAAATGCGTAAACGTTTGGACTTCAAATGGGAGGGTCGGCCAAAGCGAGCCAACCCTATGGGGTCCCACAAATTATGTCGGCCATATGTCTTGATATCCATACGGCACTCACCAGGCTAGGGTGAGAGTGGCATATTTAGCCAACCGACCCTTTTAAATTTCACCCCCACCCCACCAACTTCTATTTATACGAGCTCCTTCCCTTGTTCCTCCTCTTTTCAGCCGATGTGGGACTTAGTTGCCTATTGTTTCATTTCAAACTCACATCATGCCAAGAATCTAGACGAGAAAATATTTTGTACAATAAAGAAGAGAATTTGGCACATAATTGAAGGAGATTTTCATGATACTTTCCTCGAATTGAATAAGCCGGATAAAGGAATTTGATATTTAACAATCAAATACAAAAAGTCTGAAATGCGTAGCTAAGCTAAGTATCTACCATTTAGCTTCTGTACAAACGAAGACCAACAATTTACTCCACCCAGTTCGCTCTGCCAGTCATATCTGAAAGCTGAAAACGTAAAATCGGTAATGTCATTTGATTTTTTCACAGAGCCTAAATAAACAACCTATAATACGCCTAGAATCAATTGTTAATAGCATGCTTTTAGAGTAGTAAAAAGGTAGACACCTCTGTAAGGGCACACAACTTTGAAATAAGGGGTTCCTTTCATGTTCATGTAAATAAAAATACGAGTAGGTAGTTGATCTCACCTTTTAAGAATTGATGTAACACATTGCCTGTGCTTGAAGGAAATAAGAGTCTTTGTACTTTCTTCCACTTCCAATGTGAATCCCATTGTGAATCCAGTCGTCACGATGTATCCAAGCATCCCGACCAAAATCAAGAATTCCAAGAATCTGTTGTGAGCAAGATATATGCTAAGTTGGTAACATTACGAAAAGTGTAACCCACAAAACACGTGTTGGTGGATGTCATCAGACACAAAAACCCAACAACAAGCTTACAACTACATACTAAAAAGGTACCTCCTCCCAACAGTCAACCTACTACAAAAGACGCATACAACTATATGCTAAAAAGGTAGAGGGAGCTTTACTTACCGCTCCACCTTTCCAGGACACAAACGTTGGATTTGCTCTTGGTTGCAAGACCTATTTAACATAATATAACGTCCACGTATGAGAATAAAACTACACCACTAACTCATATAACAATTGAGTCATGTACTCGATTGGTTCTATGGACTTTTAATTTGGTTATGGGCTCACTACTTTGCCTTTAAATATATAATTTATATATATAGCAAAATGCAGAGAATTGTGAAACATTCAAAATACCATAAAATGCAATTAGTTAATTCAAATATTAAGAATTAAAATTATTAATTAAATGAGAATAATATGATAAATTCATACTTTTTCATATTAAAAAAAGAAAAATTAAAAGAAAAATCTGATAATAAATTTTATTTTTATAAAACACAACTACTCATTATTATTTTTAATTCTAAAATAAATTAAAATTTTTATAAATAAAAAACTTCTCGCAAATGCAAAAGTGCGAAAAAGCTAGTATAGGATAAATTAAAACATTTTAGAAGGTTTTTTTATTATTTTAATTTAAGGTCATTGCATTTAGAAAATGCGTAAACGTTTGGACTTAAAATGGGAGGGTCGGCCAAAGCGAGCCAACCCTATGGGGTCCCACAAATTATGTCGGCCATATGTCTTGATATCCATACGGCACTCACCAAGCTAGGGTGAGAGTGGCATATTTAGCCAACCGACCCTTTTAAATTTCACCCCCACCCCACCAACTTCTATTTATACGAGCTCCTTCCCTTGTTCCTCCTCTTTTCAGCCGATGTGGGACTTAGTTGCCTATTGTTTCATTTCAAACTCACATCATGCCAAGAATCTAGACGAGAAAATATTTTGTACAATAAAGAAGAGAATTTGGCACATAATTGAAGGAGATTTTCATGATACTTTCCTCGAATTGAATAAGCCGGATAAAGGAATTTGATATTTAACAATCAAATACAAAAAGTCTGAAATGCGTAGCTAAGCTAAGTATCTACCATTTAGCTTCTGTACAAACGAAGACCAACAATTTACTCCACCCAGTTCGCTCTGCCAGTCATATCTGAAAGCTGAAAACGTAAAATCGGTAATGTCATTTGATTTTTTCACAGAGCCTAAATAAACAACCTATAATACGCCTAGAATCAATTGTTAATAGCATGCTTTTAGAGTAGTAAAAAGGTAGACACCTCTGTAAGGGCACACAACTTTGAAATAAGGGGTTCCTTTCATGTTCATGTAAATAAAAATACGAGTAGGTAGTTGATCTCACCTTTTAAGAATTGATGTAACACATTGCCTGTGCTTGAAGGAAATAAGAGTCTTTGTACTTTCTTCCACTTCCAATGTGAATCCCATTGTGAATCCAGTCGTCACGATGTATCCAAGCATCCCGACCAAAATCAAGAATTCCAAGAATCTGTTGTGAGCAAGATATATGCTAAGTTGGTAACATTACGAAAAGTGTAACCCACAAAACACGTGTTGGTGGATGTCATCAGACACAAAAACCCAACAACAAGCTTACAACTACATACTAAAAAGGTACCTCCTCCCAACAGTCAACCTACTACAAAAGACGCATACAACTATATGCTAAAAAGGTAGAGGGAGCTTTACTTACCGCTCCACCTTTCCAGGACACAAACGTTGGATTTGCTCTTGGTTGCAAGACCTATTTAACATAATATAACGTCCACGTATGAGAATAAGCATGACAAGAGATAATATAACGTCCACAAAGTATAGGAACATAAGACTCTGGTTGAGTTTGAGCAACCAAATAAAAAAGGATTATAATAACCTTCAAGGCAATAACAAATCAACTTACCTCAACAGTATCAATCGCTTCATTTGAAGGAATAGTATGTAAAACCCTGCAAGAGGTGAATGCAAATTTAATATTATAAGGGTGTCTAAGTCCGTCCCATTTGATAACATTTATTAAATAAGCACATGGGCATATCAGGCTCTCATAACCATGCAATTATATCAAAGTGCACTTGAAAACTAGAAATTCTGCAGAAAGTTGTGATGAGATGATTGGTCTGTAGGGTCAGTGTAAAGGGGTGGAGTAAAAAACTTTCTCTAACAGAACTGGGGATCCCCTGACCTAACAACTATTACTCATCTGGCATACTTGCAGAGTGCAAACATGAAGCTTAATTGCCTAAGCTATGAGTTCATGAATATAGACCACAAATCTTAACTTAACAATACTCCAAGCCAAATAATCAAAGTCCACATTGGTGGGTTTTCCCTTGTCATAAAATTTGCGAACTTTGATGCACAATTACATAAATATCGTAAGCATAGATCATAATCACAAATAATAATCAAACAAGTAGGTTTGCTAGCTTAAAGAAACAGCAGAACCGACCTTTCCTCCACTGCAGGAACAAGACCTCTTGTCAAAGCCACTCCACCAACCTAAGACATGAAATATGTCATTTCTTCGTTCCTATATAAAGTATAGAAACTCATAGTCTATCTTGGTTGACAAACTTACCAACTGTATACTGCAAAACAATTTTCTTTGGAGGTCTATACGTCCTGTCAACAAACCACCAAGTGGTACTAAGGTATCAGATATTTGACCAAAAAAATAAGAAGGTATCAGATAGAAAAACAGACTTGGCAAAACTACAGAAACATACCTGTTGAAAGAATGCTACTCGTTATGGCTTCTGCAAGGCCGACCTTCTCTTCTTTCTTTGGTTTAGCTGCAAAAACTGGGTAGGTATCCCACATTGGATACCCAACGTTCATGCTGGGATACATGCCATCTGGCATTTCAGGTCTTCTGGGAAATTCCATGTGCCATGTATCTTCCAGCATGTCCTCATAGTCACGAAACCTATTTAAGTAACCAATCCAATATTTATCAAGGTAAGGTGATTTGTCCCCAGGTATTTTCATGTTGCAGAAAAGTTGAACTTGGAAAACATGACTGACCAAACACTGGGTGGGGGAGGATATGCATCTGGAACCAAAAGCATTGGGAAGAACAAACCCATTGGAGGGACCTATTTAAGATACAGTAAGATTCAAATTTTGCCCACAAATTGATTCAGGACTAAAGCAACTATAATTCACTTTATGAAACACACGTTGAGAGCAGTTAATCTTGTCTTATGAGATCCAGCTGGCAAGCCATCTTCATAGGAATGAACTATACCAACAGCATCAAGTTCCCCCTCCTGTATAAAGGAAACTAAATAATTAGAAAACGAATAATCCAAAAACCAAGGTAAAGAACCCTTGTCCAAACACATTCTACACTATTTGGCCATGTATATTAGACACTCCATACAATTCAATCATTAACATATAGTATTTACAAGCACTCAATTAAAAGGATTAGCTTGACATATGTTCTAATGATGATTCACTGTGACCTGAAATGTTTTTTTTTCCTTTTTTCCTTTTTGCAATTTGAAACATCGCAATGTATACTAGATCTTAATGAGTACTTTGGATATGATTGGCTCATTACTCATTATTAAAATTCATTTTAAAATAACATATGGGGTACAAAACAAACATATACAAAGGAAAACCACCCATTGGATCAAAATTAAAGATTATGACCATAACATGTGTGTGTTGTCCTGTAGGTAAGTCTTCACAAGATTTAAACAGAACACAAATATTATACATACATAGATATTGTTCAACCCCACTAGAGTCTAGAGGGGCCAAACAAAAATCTAGGTGGCATTGTACACCACAGCTCAACTGAAGGAATAACCTAGGTTAAGAGAATCATCACTAGTATGATAGTGTGATACTTATCTTTCCTCTCTTTGGGTTCCCTTGTCTAGAAACAATATTGCTATCCGTCTAGACTGGTGAGAGCACTGTATTAATTGGTTTTGCCTTTGCTCCATCCCCTATTTATCCATTTCTGGTTTTTCAATAAGAAAGTAATTGTTTCCTATTAAGAAAAGGGGGAAGAGGAAAGGGGGGTGGGGTGAATGTATGATAGATTATTTTCAATGGCTTCCTCAATCATAACTCTAAAATCCCCTTCAATTGCTTGGTTCAGTATATTACCAAGCAATTGAAATAATCTAACTTCTTTGCAACATGCCTAATCTCTTCGTAAGACCATCAAAATTACCAAGCGAATGCACTTCTCTCATGTAACAAATATTATTTAAACACATCCCAGAATAAGTTAAGAAATAACATACCACTCGAATGGTTTTCCACGGCGTGATGTGGTAAATACTCTACCAACTAGGATCCCAAACGTTAAAGAGAAACACTAAAACAAACTCTACGGTGCCTGGCATACATTTTCTTTTACTTGTTACAAGGGACCCATACGTGCATGCATGTAATTCATGTACTACTGGCATGAACCATGTAGCACAAAAAGAAGCTAGGTTAGATTATAGAAGATAAATTACATATAGGATAATCCATGACAAAATAAGAAAGAAGTAAAAAGAACTAACCTTAATCTCACAATAAGACTCTTTTAGCCTGTTAAGCATCAAGAGATCTATAGGCTTTGCGAACATGTCAGTACGAATTTGTGGCCATGTCTGATGATGTCTCTGAGTCCAAAGAAAGCATCTTGATATGTCCTGAACAAATACACTCATCAATCAACTTCACCAGGAAAAAGTATACTGGCAAATGAAACTTATTAAATCAGCGACATATTAAATGAGTTCTAAAAACTCCATAAATAATAATAGCAATTATTTAACATCCAAAATCTAGGTCAGCAGAAACAGAAACAAACAATTCATTTAATTCATGGAAGTTTAAAAGGTAGAGAAAGAGGTTACAAGATGAGAGTAAGTAACCCAGATGAAATTAAAAAGCCATGCAGTGGGACAAATAGGTGATGACAGAATTAGTTCAGTGCTCATATGCTAAAACAACAACTGAAAGGCTTACAGCTTTACATCATCAAGAAACAATTTCTGCGGGTGAACATATCCTATTAGACTGATAGTTAACATGGATGAAGGAGAGCTACAGAAACAAGGGTATAATATTTCTTTCATTATTGAAGCTACTAGCTAGTCAAAACATCAGTACATTTTAAAAGCAAAACTCACCTCTCCGCCAA